CTCCTTTTTGAATTTGAAATATATGTTAGACCTTGTAATTTTTTTTCTCCATGTCTCTGAACTTTTCTATTTCATATCTGGAGCTCAGGTTTACTTCCTTAGGCCCATAACCTCAGGCGTAAGTGGCTCCTTTGTTTATATTACCTCCCTGAGTTCCTGCTTTCACTTCACCTTTGGCGTGGTGATTCTTTTCTATCTTGTCAGCTTTTTGATATATTTAAGAAAATGCTCTTAATATGTCATTTGTAATTTTTGATTGTCTTCAGCAGAAGGTTTGATCTAAATAACAGAACCCAACATATTCTTGGAACACTGAAGAAATTTTTTTTCCTTAGGTATTTGCTATATCAGGGTCTTTTAGTAGAGTTCAAATAAAATTTAACTATGCTTTTACTAACAGTTTCTGGATTCCTTTTTTAGAGTAAACACATGACCAGAGACTCAAGGGGGGAAAAAAAAAGCAACCCTGAGATTCTCTGACTTCTTTGACACTTGAATGATCCAAGTCGATTGCTTTATTTGCACTGAGAACCTTTTCAGCACCTCCCTTTTAAATTTCCCCTTGTGCAAGTCTGGTTAACCAACACTTATGACTCAATGTAAGTATCTCAAAGGCATAAAGTTTTCTAGGAGACTTAGGGAACAATTACCACACCTCTTGTTACTTCGGTCAAAAATATTGATCATTGCATATATCACAGCCGCCATGGTATAATCGAAATATGCCTGTTAATCAGAGGTAATAGAGAATAACCCTTACCCAGACCTGCCCTAAAGTGGTATCAAGCTATTGCCCCCCCACATTTAAGTCTTATTCTTTAATTATTCTATATTTAGATAAAGATAAATTTATCATTTCTTGCTATTCAACGTTGCACTGATGACATATGTGTCTTTAAAAATATGATAAGTGATAGTATATTTAAAGAAATTGAAGAGATCTAGAACAATTTCTTGGAGGGTTACAGACAGGGCCATGGCCTACAGTCGTGTCGCTGTGTACCGTACAACCCCAGGGGTTGCCATTTACATCAGAGTCCACAACCATAAAAGGGGGCCCAGGACCATGATGAAGCTTGGAAAATCTTCTATGAGTGATTGTCTAGAGTCAAGGTCTAGGTTTTAACTGTTTAAATGCTAGCAGATAGTTTTCTTTGTAATTGATGTGATCTTACCAGCCATCCTCAGCACCTTGAAAATCTGCTAAGAATCAGTGGCTGTTTAAATCTTCTTTCTTGATGACCTGGAGAGCATTGAGCTAACCCAAGTTACCCTGGAAGATGAAGAAAAGTTCCAGCTCAAAAAGATAGAAATGACTTTCATGTATAATGAATAAGGCTTTCAACAAAATCCCCAGATTTCCCTCTTTGATCAGTGATCCTAGGACTTTATGGCTTAGCAGGATGTCCTCCAGCTTATACAGAAGGCACTAAGGGCTGCATTATTTTAAATACCATAAAATTTCTCCTATTAGGAAATGTATATTCAGTCTTGAGGAAAGATATTTCAGGCTTGATAACCGAAAGCAGTCTTTTCAGTGGTAGCTGGTCTGTAGTAAGTCCTTCTTGATCCATACTCTCTTTCCAAGATGATTGCTGGCGTCACCCTTCATTCTGACCTTTCCTGCTCTCATTTGGGAGTTGAGTACAAGCTCTCTTCAGTGAAAAGGCATGGTTTATTTTGATCAGAGGCCCACGTTATGGCACATAATAACCAGTCACTGTGTACTGTGACTGATTTAACTTTGACCATATCTTATACCACTCAGGAGGTCCTGCCCTAGGATTTGGCAAAGCTCAAGAATGAGTTTGCAGAAATTTTGAAATTATATAATAGCATCTTGCATTTGTTGATTCATTTCACCTGATAGACTCAGACGTTTACTTCCAAGGAGGCACATTCTCAGGAGGCCAGCACTGTGGCCTGGTAGAAAGAGTAGGAGTCCCACCAAACAGCCAAATGACCTTGACCCATCTCCTAGAACATGTGGGACCTCTTCCTTCAGGTGTAGAATGGGGGTTTGAGGCTAGGTGAATTCTGAGTTCCTTTCCAAAAATAAACTGCTCTGATGATACTCTTTCCAGAACTAAAATTAGGTACTTGCACAGTCAATCTTCTAAGTCAGTTCTACAAATTCCAGGTAGAGTTGAGTCAAGGCATTTGTATAGGAGAGTTTTGGGGGGTTTTTTGTTTGTTTTGGTAGAGGTTTGTTTCACTAAATACAGACTTTTTAAAAAAATAACAGTGCTTTTGGAGAGGAACTGAGTTCAGAAATAAAAAATAGATTGGTTTTTAAACTTTCAAATGAAACTTTTTGTGACATACGCCTAAGTGTACAATTCGATGAGTTTCAGGAACTGAACACACCCATGTAACCTGCACACAGAATGTTACCTGTACCTCAGAAACGCCTTTGTGCCCATGTCTAATTATTATACCCACACCCCCTATCCAAGGATAACCACTCTCCCTACTCCTTGCTCCATCGATTGGTTTTGCCTGCTTTTGTACCTCCCACGAATGGAATTCTGTACACTATGCATTCTTTCACGTCTGGCTCCTTTATCTCACTTTATGTCTCTGAGATTCATCAATATTGTTGTGTGTAGCTGTAGCAGACGCTTACATTTTCCTCCAGAGAGACATTGCTACATCTTTGCATTCGGGTTCGAGGGACTCATTTGGGAGGGTCAATAATATGCCATTATGAACAGAGAGAGGATAAAAGTGTTGAAGAGGAGAGCCAAACCAGAGGCATTTGACAACTTATTAACATAGTGTATTATTATTATTTTTTTAAAGAGTAAATTTTTTTTGAAGATTTTATTTATTTGACACAGAGAGAGAGACAGCGAGGGAGGGAACACAAGCAGGGGGAATGGGAGAGGAAGAAACAGGCTTCCCACTGGGCAGGGAGTCCGATGCTGGGCTAGATCCCAGGACCCCAGGATCATGACCTGAGCTGAAGGCAGACGCCTAACGACTGAGCCATCCAGGCGCCCCAACATAGTGTATTATTAATATATGATACAGCTTATTGATTTAAAAAATGTAAGCCCTCTTTGGAAGGAGAAGGACTCACCTCCTGTCTCAGACATTATCATGCCACGTCCAAGGAAAGAATTCCCTCACTGGTACTGGTGATGGCTATTAAGTTACAGGATCCTTAAAGATTGCCAGCTTTTCCTTGGGGCTGAGAAATTATGTTTTACCCCCATCTTTACGTGCCCTCGTCCCCGTAATCCCTGCACTGTTTTACCCTGCACATGCCGGGTGCAAAATAGGTATCTGTCGACCTATGACAACAAGTGAAGAGTACAGCTAGCATTTATAGTGGCTTCCCAGGGCTTACTCACCACAGCAACGCTGTCGGGTTGGAATCCTGGCCATTGGAAAGAACTTGTCCAAAGTCATTCAGACACTGCATGGCAGAGCCAGAACCTTGCGACTCCTGCTCTTCAGTCTTTGCCACCGGGCACACGCACTCTATTGTTCTGAGGCTGGCAGAAGCTGCGGTGGTGGCTGGGGTCATGGGTGCTCCGTGGTCAGGACTTCTGGCAGCCGAGAGCATACAGCCTGGTCTGCCCTGGCCGCTCGCCCTGGGGCTGTGTAGGGGGAGCCTGCTCAGTGGGCTCTCACTTCCCCATTCTTGTGCCTGAGCCCGTGGGCAGATTGTGACTTCCTGGCTGGCTTCTTCCTCCCTCGGCATCCCATGCCAGCCGCCGCTGCTGGTGCTGACTGCCTGGCATGGGGTTCTGTTGGCCAACTCCTCCACCGTTAGAGGAACTGACACAGTCTCAGGATTTGCCATTCTCTCTGTGTGCCAGGCTCCCCCCTCAATACATTTTTTTTATTGCCCCTCAGTAAATATTTGTTGAATGAATGAATGCATGAATGGTAAATGAGGCTTTTAAATTCAGTTTTGATACGAACTGTGCTTTTAAAAAATGTTGACTCTGTCCTCCTGACCACTAAAGATGCAAGCAGTGATAATGGGCTTGTAGGTAATAAAGAGGAAATCCTTTTACAGTATAAGACATAAACAGGAGTAGAATTATTTATAGGGTTCTCCAACCCCTTCTGATTCTTAGCATAGTTTTTAACCAGCATTTATATAGTAGTAATAATTATATATGCAGCGCTTTTTGTTTTTAACTTCTCCTCTTGATATTTTGCATGCATTGATGTTTTCCATAAATTCACAGGGACCACGTTTTTAAAAATTTTTTTAAAAATTTAATTTTGAGTGAAGTATAGTTGACATACAATATTACATTAGTTTCAGGTGTACAACAAAGCAATTTGACAATTCTGCACATTATGAAATGCTCCCCACGTTAAGTGTAGTTACTATCGGACGTCCTACAAATTTATTACAATATTACCGACTGTATTTTTTATGCTGTACTTTTCATCCCTGTGACTTATTTATTTTATAACTGGAAGTTTGTCCCCCTTAATCCCCTTCACCTATTTTGCCTATCTCCTCTGGCAACCACTAGTTTGTTCTCTGTATTTGTGAGTCTGTTTCTGTTTTTTTGTTTTGTTTTGTTTTTAGTAATTTTTAATGTAATATGATACCCCACTGGGTGGTCCTCCCATAATAAACAGAGGTTTTGCTCTTTATAGCCAGTGCCCCATCTGGCATTGCCAGTTCTCTGGAACGAGAGTAATTTTTTTTTTTTTTTAAGATTTTATTTATTTATTTGACAGAGAGACAGCGAGAGAGGGAACACAAGCAGGGGGAGTGGGAGAGGGGGAAGCAGGCCTCCTGCTGATCAGGGAGCCCGATGTGGGGCTCGATCCCAGGACCCCGGGATCATGACCTGAGCCGAAGGCAGACGCTTAACCGACTGAGCCACCCAGGTGCCCCTGGAACGAGAGTAATTTAAAGGATGCAGGATTGCAGGTTGCCTTGGTTAAGTAACTGCCTCTTGGGTATTGCTGTGTTGTGATTGCGGCATGCTATGATGATACATTTTCCCTTTATTTTATTCCAGGATGTTTTTCTCTGGCAGGCAGTGTGGCCATGTTGGCAGACCTGAAGAACTTTTACTGATGTTCAAGATATTTCTTATCATCATTTGTCTTCATGTTGTTCTGGTTACATCCTTGGAAGGTAATGTGCCTGGGTGTTTTTGTTTTGTTTTGTTTCATTTTTTCCCGTTTTATCTCTGTCTTTATGTGTTTATTTAGGTTTTGTTTTTTTTTACTATAAAGTAAACATAACATAAAGCTTACTATTTTAACCATTGAACCACTGGCATTAAATATATTCCCAGTTTTGTACAACCATCACCACTCTCCATTTTTAGGATATTTTCATCATCTCAAAGAGAAACTCTGTCCATGTTAAACAGTAGCTCCCCATTCCCTTTCACCCCAGTCCCCGGTACTCTCTCTGCTTTCTGTCTCTATGAATTTGCCATTCCAGGTACCTCATATAAGTGGAATCATTCAATATTGGTCCTTTTGTTTCTAGATTCTTTCACTTAGCATGTTTCCAAAGTTCCTCCATGTTATAGTATGTATCAGCGTTTCATTCCTTTTTAAGATTGAATAATACGCCATTGTGTGTATAGACCACATTTTGTTTATCCATTCAGTGTTGATAGACATTTGGGGTATTTCTACCTTTTGACTGTTGTAAATAATGCTGCTCTGGATATTGGTGTACAAGTACAATTTCGAGTCCATGCTTTCAGTTCTTTTGGGTACATATACCTGGGAGTGGAATTGCTAGATCATATGGTGATTCTACGGTGATTCTTCTTGAGGATTTGCCACACTGTTTCCTCCAGTGGCGGCACCATTTTTCATCCTACCAGCAGGGCACAAGGATTCCAGTTTCTCTCTGTCCTCACCAACACTTCTTATTTTCTCTTGTTTTGATAGTAGGTGTGAAATGATACCTCATCATGGTTTTGATTTGCATTTCTTTAATGATTAGTGATGGGGAGCATCTTTCATGGGTTTATTGGACATAACGTTATTTTTTTAGAGAAACGTCTACTCAGACCTTTGGCCCATTTTTGAATTGGGTTGTTTGGGTGTTTTGTTGTTGTTGAGTTTAAGAGTTCTTTATATATTCTGCGTATTAAATCCTTTACCAGATAATACGATTTGCAAATATTTTCTCCAATTCTGTGTTGTCTTTTCACTCTCTTAATAGTGTGCTTTGACGCACCAAAGTTTTTATTTTTGATGAAGTCCAATTTATCTGTTTTTACTTTTATGCCTGTGCTTTTGCTGTCTTATCCAAGAAACCACTGCCCAATCTGATGTCATGAAGATTTCTCCTATATTTTCTTCAAAGAGTTTTAGAGTTTTAGCTCTTATGGTCAGGTGCTGTGATGCATTTTGAATTCATTTTTGTATATGGTGTGAGGTAAGGGCCCAGCATCATTCTTTTGTCTGTGGACATCCACTTTTCACAGAGCTATTTGTTGAAAAGACTGTCCTTTCCCCATTGAATGGTCTTGGCACCTTTGTCAGAAATCAATTGACCACATATGTGAGGGTCTATTTCTAGTGTTTATTTGTTTATTTGAAGGCACTTCTGCATGGAAATGTTAAGGGAGGTAGACAATCAGCCAAATGAAGCAGGATGGTTTTCAGAAGAGAGGATCTTTAGAATGAAACATGGAGAAAATGTACCTAAGGAAGGCAGCAAAAAGGCCAGAAATCTTGGCTGCAACATCTGTAGGCACAACTTCCAAAAAAATACAATGCTGCTATGCAAATGGAAAGAATCCTCACCAGGAATATTATTTAAGAAGAATTATTAAGGACACAGAGAGAAATACCTTTCTTACTCAGAGGAGAGTGGCAGGATCAAGGAATCTTCATTGGATAAAGCAAATATCTACTAGCAGCAAACAAAGACATGTAAACAAAATAGATGCACAACACACACATGCGAACTAAATGGAAAACTTCTGAACAGGATAAAACACAATACTTGACAACCCTTCAAAAAGCAGGCACTGGGGCATGTCGAGAAGCCACAATACTTGAGAAAAAGAAATGGTAAGAGCTAAACATGTACTGACTGCTTACGATGGGCCAGGTCCCTCCGTGCTTTACACATATGCACTCTCTTAAGCTTCTCAACCACATCTGTGAAGGAGAGGTCCTAGTGTTAGCCCCATTTCCCAGATCAAGAAACTGAGTCTCAGATAAGTAAGTTGCTCAAGGAAGTGGCTGACTGGACTTTGTAGCCAGCTCTGAATTTTGTGGTCATAACCAGAAAACCAGAGTTCTCAAACTCTGAAAACATCAGTTCTCAAAATGTCAGAATCCCCTGGAGGACTTGGGTCTCTCCCCCAGACTTTTTGATTCAGTAGGTATAGGGCCGGACCCAAGAATGGACATTTCTAACAAGCTCCCAGGTGATGCTGATGCGATTGGTTCAGACTACACTTTGAGGACCACTGCCTGCACAACTGGCAGAAGACAGAAGTAGGTAGAGAAAACTCCTCCAGCTAAATATCACGGGCTACACATTCTGCTGTGGTACTGTGATGTTCCTCTAAACTATGCTTGCGCGTCATCTTCTTGGGGCATTAAAACATCACTGTGGAATCGGCAGAGCAGAAGTCAAATGTCCCCACTCTACTGATGAGTAAATGTCCCCAGGGGCGTGATTGGTTGGAAAATGGTGGAGCCAGACTAGATACCAGATCTTCAGTCTCATGTTTCAGTGCTTTTTCCACCATGGGGATAGATGAGGAAGGAAAGTGGAACATAAGGGGAAAAAAGTCATCAAAATGAAAGCGGCTTGGTAGAAATAAGTCTTTTTGGAAAAGTGTTTTTAAAAGTAATTAAAATGGGGCAGGTAAACAGGAATGTGCATGTGTGCTGATGGCTCCCATGTCTCTCTAACTGCAAATGACCATGCATGGCCTGTGCTTGGAACAAGCCAGAAGTGCCAGGGAGTTAACACTCCAAAATAGTGAGGGATGAGAGTCGGCGTTTACCTATGCCAGCTTCCTCGTCCCTTGGTGAGATAGTGCTGAGCTGTGTTCTACACACCTAGTAGATTGTTGGGCTGTGCCCCAGTTGCCCCCAGTAGTAATCCACTCATTAATGTACCCATTATTGTCTTTACTCCCTTTCCTGTCTTACTTCCCTACTCCCTCCCTCTGCTTTCTGGGGTCTCCCCACTTGGAACTGAATGAATCGTCCAAGGTCCAGCCAAATATTGCTACCTCTATAAAACCTGCCCTCATCTCTTCAGAAGAATTAAACCTCTTTCCCCAGTGCTTTTCTCTTTATCCATATCTTTTTATACTTGTCCCCTTCTATGACAGCGTTAGGTACTTCCTTTGTATCACGGGTCCTTTTAGCACATTGTCAGTGCCAGGTGAGAATGGAGAAGGAGGGTTTGCGGGGGCGGATGGGAAACTAATGGGCAGGCTGGGGACTTGCTCTGGGCCATGCCCTGCTAGGTGTTTAGCTATATCATCTCATTTACTCCTCACAAAAACACCTCAGTTTTTGTGTCTCAGTTTACAGATGAAGAAACTGAGTGTCCGTGTCAAAGAGATTAAGTCATTTGTGCAGAGTCTCATAGCTCGGTGGATTCCCCGTTGGGATGTGTAGCTTGTGCTGTTCATACTCTACCGGGTTGCCTCGTAGGTGTCTGAAGACTGAAGGAACGTGTCACTGAGGTGTGGGGAGAAGACAGGGAGCCGGGGTATGCCGCTGGTTAGCAGCCATTCCCCCTGGTTTTGGGGTATTTGGACTGCAAACACAGTAGCTTCATCCTGGAAGCCTGAGAGATGACTCATTAGCTCCTGACAATAAGGAGAGGTAGGTCTGACACTCTCTTGTTAGGCCACTGGCCAACAGAGAATCCTTAGACCCTAATGCTTTCAGTTGTGTAATTTGGTAATGTGTGAGGGAATCATTCTTGGTCTACCAGAAGCCCACATGAGCTTCAGTAGGTAACTATAGTTCTCTCTTGCCTCTAGCTCTCCTGGGCTGTGCCAATGCCTTTTTTTCTTTTCTTTTTTTGTCTTTGAAGGAGGTCTTCTTTTAGGTACAACTATTTTCCAGAGGGTGAGATGACATAATAGTGGAAGATGGTTATAATTTCATCCCTGTAGAGTTGTCTTCCCCATTTGGAAACAATTACACATTTGAGCCAGTTTGGTAAGCTCATGAGCTATAATCCCCAACTTTCTCTCTCTGGTCTGGGCCTAGATCTTTCTGCACTGCAGGCATTTCCAGAGATAGATTTCTCTGTAATTCTTCTCTCCCAAGGCCTCACTCTCTTGTTTCCTCTTATCCTCTCATGCTTTGTCCATCCAAATCTTTGTTCTTTCTTGTTCAGTGCATGGTAAAGCTGTAGGAGGGTAGACTGTAATGCTCCTGAAAGGCAGGGAACCTGTCTTGTTTGACTTTGTCTTCCAGTACCAAACCGGGTGCTGTACTCCTTCTCTCTCAATTCTCTATCTGTGCAAATGAGATTATAAATACCATGGCATTGATCTGATGCTCAGCCAATCTTACAGCCTCCCAAATTCCCACTACTCCCATACGGGCATGAGGTCACTTCTGGTAGACCCTGCCTTTTTCCCTGGAAGATAGAAGTGGTGACAAGGAATGGTAGAGGCTCTAGAGAGTTGAAGGGGAAACTGAAAGCGGAAGACATTGTGTCCCACTTTCCACTTAGAACTCCTGGTCAGAACTCATAGCAGCCTGTACATCAACATGGAGGCCATGGTAGAGATGAAAGATGATGACATAGAGTGTTTAGGCAGAGAGAAGGCTGGAGACGGTGTCTTTTTCAAGTCTTTCTTGTCTCTTGTGGGCAGGGTAGAGATTCTAAATGGCCTTCATGTTCCTTGTGGGTAGCTGTGTTGTGAGCCAGGAGCAGGGACAGAGTGCAAAAGCGATGGCGTGGACAGTTTAGACCAGGGGCCAGATGAAGGATGTGACAGACACTCAGAGGTGAGACTTGAGGGGACCTGGATTATCAAGAGAGGGACCCCCAGGCCAAGGTGGGCTACTGAGAGAATAGACCATGGGGGCCAGTGGACACAGTCTTCAGCAGTGGATGCCAACTGGATACTCAGGAACCCCACAGGGTGAGGGAGATCTCTGGAGAGGCCA